GGTGAAGTATTTGATTTTTAGATATATAATTTTTTGGAATGCCCTTCAATTGGATATTATCACACCAAAAAATATATATATATAAGATTTTGTATTAATTTAGTTGAATAATGTTAGATATATACGAAATTTTAATGGGTATTTCCTTGAATATATTTCTCATAAACACCTCTATCGATTTTATTTAGAGAGAGAGATCAGTCTTTATTTATAAATCTCTCTGTACTTTTATGTTTCTTGCTTTTACTATATTCTTTAGATTATATAATATTTTTTCAGTTTCATATTTAGAGAGAGAGAGCCTTAATTTTTTTTATTTTTTTTATGACCGGGATATGTCTGTGTCAACTTATACGTATCTCAATTAATCTCTTAGGACCCTAGAAGATTAGAACTACTGGCCAGATAAAAATTTCAGTGGTTACTCCTATTAACACTCAACGAGAGATTTGAACTCAAAACTTTTTTAGTAATACACTCAAGAGTCTCTATCGAACCACTCGGTCACTCAGAAATAATTAAGAAATAGTCTTAATTGTTTTAGTATTTAATTAAATATTGAAACAAATCGATATTTAATTTTTAATGATGAGTTCTATACCCAATAAATAAACATGCAATTATAATATAAGGTAATATGAGACATATGTGTATAATGTAAGAAACATTTTATAAGGACATAACTACATCAATCTCATAAAACATTATATAAACTATTGAATATGATTATAATTTAATTGAACCTTAATATAATTAACAATATTATGACCATATTCTTAGCAATTGAAGATTTCACATTGTTGATTATAGCTTTTATTTAAAGATTAAAAAAAAAAACATATAATAAGGATAATATCGAAGGAGGCAATTTCTGAATTTGGTATAAAAAATGTAACCATTTATGTAAGTAACGGTTACATAACCTGTAACCACTCGGGAATCTAGAATTGCTGACAACGAAACTCCTATTGGATTTTGTTTGTATTACTCATAATAATTACGTCCAAATCTGGTAATAAAATTAAATTTAAATTTCGGCAATAATATGACTTTTGCAGAAGAACCCATATTTTAGTTTTATTTATGATATATACCATCATTCTTTGCATATTCTTACTTCTTCACCACTGTTTATGATGGATGATCAAACTATTTTTCGTTCAAATAATTTTCCAAATGGCTTATTTCCAAGAATTAATTTCTAAAGTAGTTTTATTACAATATAACACATAAAACACTCCCACCTGTCAAATTCTATCGATCATTAACTCATTATTATCATACTAAAGTTTTCCATAACGTAAGAGCAATACGTGTGCATATTTGTTGTTTTTTTGTAGTAAGTATTTGTCGTTTTTCGGTAATACATATTTGTCATTTATTTGTAATATATATTTGTCGTTTTTCTTTAGTACATATTTGTCATTTATTTGTAGTATATATTTGTCGTTTTTCAATATAAATAACAAATACACAAAATGTATATATTTGTCGTTACTTATAGTTATAATTAGTTATCAAACTTTATCATCGATGTATGATGTCAAAATGGTAAGATTAATAAATATTAAGTAGGATGTAGTACAAAGGTATCTACAACATTTTGCATGCTTTAACCTAAGTTTTCAGCACTGAAATCTTTTATGTTTTATAAAGAAAAGTCATCTAAGTAAACAACTCAAATTATAGAACAGGCTGTGTTAGATAAGTAGATTTTAAGGAATTTTAAGTTTTAAATTAAATTCGTTCTTCATACATAACTCAACTCCTTTCTATGACATATTCATTCTAATTTAGTATCTACTTGGCTTACATAAACACATTATAATTACTCTAAAAATAAAAAAATTAAATCATATGCAAGAATTCAACAATTCTTGAATTTTAGGGGTACAAGAGAAATTAAAAAAACCAAAAGGATAAAGGGGGAAAATAAGTCGGAGTTGGATAAGAGAAACCCCCAAAAAAAAAAAAAAAACATGACGGGCGTGAGAGGAAATCGACAAAATATACAAGAAAATAAAAAGGGAAATGAATTGTAGTATTTGCTAAAACATTATAGTCTGAGTCTTGAGTCGACAGAGTGAGCAGCCATGGAACATTGCGATGATCAGGGCGAGCAGAGCAAGAGGAACATTGATGGAAGTGGGAGACTGTCAGCTGTCACACAAGCCACCCTGGAAAAAGTGAAATGCCGGCGGCGTGGAAGGTCTATGAAGGCAGGGACCAAGTGTCTGATGCTCGACAACACTTTCCCTGGCTACGGCTGGCTGTTGCCTGGATGGGTCGCCGAGGAGCGACACATGGAAACCGGAAGGATCTATAGAGTACGTGCGCAAAACATTTGTTAGCGTTAAATTATGAATATTTAGAATCTTAATTACATGTATTAGAGTTAAAAAGTTCTCAAAACGTTTTTAGTTTTCTTGAATCTGTTGTTGCAGAAGCTCGTCCATCTATCATCTCTGGTTTACGTTGCACATGAAGAGATTTTACCCAAAAAAAAAAAAATCTCTCTTGCATGCATCCCTTGCGTCATATTTCTCTTGATTTCTTGGATTTGTTCTAACAAGTGCGTCAAGCGATGTTGTTTATCCATTCTTATAAATCTTAGACCCAATCAAAAGACATTTTCGATCCATACGACACTATCCCCAGTCCAACACACCTCTTCTTTGGATTAGAAACCTAAACTTGCTCAGTTGCTCTGGTATCCCTTGTACAGGCTGCAAATTTGCTCAACTACATAAAAGACTATCTTAAATAACAAGTAGGATAACGAAATAAGCTTTTTTTGTTCCTTTATTAACGTAAGGAGGTTAGGCCAAATGGCCAATACAGGGATCAGCCCGTATGTATGTTGCATGTGATGGTGTCTATCAGAGTTAAAACTATTAAGTATGCATCCTTCACATCATATTTATCTTGATTTCTTGGATCTATTGGTGAACCAGAACCACTTTTGTCTGTTATCTCTGGTTTTTGTTAAACATGAGAGAGTCTGTGTTAAACTATAAATCAACTTAATTTGTGTTGCAGTACTACTACGATCCAGAAGGTCGTATGTACCGCAGCCAACATGAGGTTATTCATGCATGGGAAAACTCTGGCATGGTTGTTCTCGATATGTAATCAAAAATTAAGGTAAAAAATTACTTAACATATTTCCATTTTCTTAAAATATATATGTTATTTGGCATCTTGTACTTTTATCTATGTTCTGGATGTGTCAAGTGTTTTAAAATCCATATTCTTTTGGTAACTTGCAGATTGAAGCCTATGACCAAGAAATACTGGGACTCAAGCTGCTTATATATGACGAAGAACTGGGCCTGGGGAGAGAACAAGTCAATTAATCAGTTGAAATTTTGGTGTTTTCTTTGCTAATTTAGTTCCTTGCGAGAGTCTTAAATGTAATAAAAAAAAAATCAAAGGACGGACTGTTTTTAGCTTTAGTAAACTGCATTTGAACAACCCTTACTTTTGTAGTATTTACTTCGTGCCAAATAATTGAACAAACTCACTCCTTAAAATGGCATAGAGGAAACCATATTTTCCTCTTTCCATGCATCATAGAACCCGAAAACCAGGATACCTTAGTGCGCAGTTTTGATCGGTTAATTTGAATGTGATCTAGTTATCGGATGGTTCATCAATTTTATAGGTACACTAGAAATCTTTAATCAAGGAGCCAAACATTTTATAAAGAAAATTGTACACTAAAAATAAAATAAGATGGATTGATTTCATCACCATGTTTCCAGGTTACTGACTGATTATTAAACATAGCCATGGATTATGGTCAAGTAGCCAGCAGTAGGGTACCCATGGGCCATGGCCATTTGTCTTGGAAAAAATGACTTTTTCCAACCCAAATAATGAAACTTTTCCACCCAAGAACTTTTAAAATACGACTTTATTACTCAAATTTATATTCTGTTTTTTTAATCCAGCATCGTTGCAACCCCACACCATCACCATTCTCTTCTCGTATCATCACTCACCAAAATCTCTCAAACCTTACTCCCGCAAACCCCGTTAATCACTAGTAATCAAGCATTTAGGGTTTGCATAGCTACCTTTCCTAAGTCAGATTTCAATCAATCCCAATCCCCAAAATCCAACCTTCTACCATCAAAAGACTCATCAATCCCCCCTCTTCAAAAGCTCCAATAACGTAGATCAAATTTGCTCTCTGTTTGTCACCAAAATATAAATTTGAGAGTAAAATAATATTTTAAAAATATGTTGATGAGAAAGTGTTATTAAACCATTAATTGGGTTAGACAAATCAGTTAACTCTTTGTCTCGAGGATGCAAAAAAGCAATGATGGTGTCGTTTTCGTTGGTTATAACACATCCAGACACGTGGGATTATTCTACTACACGTGCAGAATTTATCTTCAAGTAAAATGAATTATATTATTCACTCTGATTTTTTTTTAGATTGAATTGCTTGAATCTGGTAAAATTACGCATGTAGGGGTTATTTAAAGAGATTATTTGAGTGCAAAACTAAAGTGTTATTTATATTTCTTCCTCACAACCATGGCCAATAATAAATATGCTCAGGGTCAAGGAGGCCTGCAAACAAAGAAAAGCTAGCTGGAAACATATTACATCTAGTTATTATAAGGTTTTCTCACATGTTTTATGCTTACGGCACCCAAAAGAATCATTTGAATCCATTCCTTGTACATCAAAAATCATAAAATTATATTTGACAGCTAAAAAGACACGGCATCTATTCCAAGCACTCAACAACCTAGTCCCAAGCCCTCGTTTATCATCTGGAGAAATATATTCTTTAGGCAGATTAGAAGAATCAGTCATAAACTACTAAAAATGGAGGACTACTGTCCATTCAAAACTATATTGCACTGATCATTTTAGATTCCACACCGATCAAAATGTAACAAGGGTCCAACGAAAATTTGCCGATGTAAGAATCAATTGCATTTCTTTAATACATCGAAAAGAAAAATAGAGAACGCGGTTCGTCATCAAAGGCAGAAACATTCTAAAAATATAAGAAAAAATTATAATTGCAAAACTTTCCAAAACCCATATAATAAGGGGCGAGGAATACATTCAAGATAAGAATGCAAAACCCAGGAAGAATCTACTGAACAATTCGCTAATAGTGGTACCAACCCAACTGGTTTACGGTAAGTTCAATCAAACATAAAGAAAATGGACATGCAGCTCCGAAAACTTGATACAAACGCAAAAAGAAAATGAAAGATAATTGTATCGCTCATCAACTTGAGATGTAAAGAAGGAAGATGTCTCGCCATATTACTGTTTATTACTGTTAGCAGTGCCTGCTGGTTATCACTTATTTAACATGTGGAAAATAAATATCACTGAAAAGAAGGCCGCAATAGAATTACACTCTCAGAAGGAACTTGAATCTCCAAGGTCAAAATTTGTACCTCTCAAAAAGGTCTCAACAAGGAATGCCGATGCCTCTCAATTTTCAACCTCCGGTTATTATCACTGTTTATCGGCTTCAAAAATCGCTCTGATTCAATTTCAGAATGCAGAGAAGACTGCAGCCTTTTTAAGTGTCCTCTGCACTGTTTATGATCAAAAGAACAGGTGCAATTGATATTCTGTTCATCCGGTTCAAAAAGTCTCTGGTTGGGGGACTGCCACTTCGCTTGCAAATAAGCAAGAGATCTCCAGGGAGGAAGAGGCATTGAATTTTGATTCAAAGAAGATCTTGCGGCTTCAACCATAACCTGAAGGAACTGTTTCAACCTTACCAAGGACCCCACATACACAACTGGAAGCGATTTCAATATTCTATCATAAGAATCAACAGCTCTAGCTATTTCAAAGTGGCTTCGAAAGTCAATATCAATGATCAAACGCTCAGAACTCCCGGTACTACTGTAATTTAGCACATCAATATATTCATGATCCCCTACACAGCATATCCATAAATTTACAATCAAAAAAATGTTCAATTCAAAATTCAAATTCATTCCAACATATGGTTCAACCAAACAAAATTGTAACAAAGAAATGCAGAAGCATACCTCCTGGCACCTTCCCACTACCCTGCCACCTCGTGGAGCACACAGCAGCATCATAACCAGAAAGTCTCAAGAGCTTTACCAGAGAAAACCTAATGCAGCTACCGTTACATTGGCCTGACTTGACAACGTGAAGGTCTGTCTCTTTAATGGACAATATGAGGGAATTAACCACCGACATCAAGTCCATCTCATACCGCGGCACAGAATGCTTGTAAAACTGTAATTTAATATACAAAATTTTGTTCAACGTGAATTCAATTTTTATGCGTCCTAATTCTTAATCTTCTTTTTACAAGGTTGAATAAATAAATACAAAAATCAAATTAAAATCGGCAACTTTTAAATTTTAAATGTCGAAATTTAAATTTCGTGAATTAAATTTAACTTACGGAGATTTTATCTGCGAGGTGTGCGAGATCGGAGAAACCGGAATCGGAGTCGCTGCTACAGCGAGAATCGGTGCCGCCGCTTCCGTTTTCGAGAAAATCACTGACCATGAGAGCCAAATCATGCTCGCTCTCATGGCTGAAACCTCCTCCGATTCCCCGAGCCCAAAGGTCGCCCGTGGTCCTCGTCGCGCACAGCAATTCCATGGCCAATCCGATGCCGTTTCCTCCTCGCCAATTCCCCAGCCTCTCTCCCCCACCGTCTGATCACAACAACAATAACATAACCTCCTCCGCTTGATTCGGTACAAGCGTCAAACGAAACAAAATGCTCGTTACTAAGTTGTTGAATTTTGTGGGAATTTTCAGAAAAAAATTTGTGCAGATTTCATTTCCGCTCGGAACTTGAAATGATCTTTTGTTTTTGCGAGAACGTTTTCGATATTTTTTTGTTTGTGTTTTTTTTTTCTTTTTTCTGGTGTTCGTATTGTGATCCAAAGGGAAAGAACAAAGGTTGTGATTTTCTTGCTACGAAACCCAAAGGATGAAAGGCGAAAGTAACACGAAAGGCGAGCTGATATAAGAATTGGGAGCGATTGAAATGACTAAAATGCCCTCGAATATTTCAATAGGTTCGGTTTTGTTTTTAATTTTAATGCAAAAAATTAGGTGGAAGTGGATAAGGCAGGAGAAAATGTATTCAGACGGAAACTGGTAGAGTAATCATCGGTCTTTTTTATGTTCAATTTATTTTTTGGCTTTATAAAGTGTACAGTCAAGGGGAAAAAAATAATAAGACTGAAGAAAAAGTACATTTTATGAATTTATTTTCTAAGGTGATTTTTTTATAACCTATAATTAGTAAATTACCAAAATAGTATATCTTAAATTATCAATTTATGTCAATATGATAAAAGAACAGTTACAATAATTTTCAGTTTTAATATTTCAATATAGGTGTAATTAATAACTGTAATTAAAGATTAAACCTAATAAAAAAATTTAACAAAAAAATAATGTGTGACGTTGACAAGGGCAAAATAAGAATTTCACGAGGAGAAATAAGATTGGTGTGACTTGGTGACCAAGTCACCATGCAACTTGGAATTGAAAATAAGAGTAACGGTCATAGGTACTATTGGAAGCTGACGTGAGCTACACGGGACCGTTCGATCTTACGTCACTCATTAATTGACCGCTCAATTGAATTTAATTCTCACGGTTCAAATACTTCAGTTTTTAATTATCCGGACACCACCAAGAGATCATGAGACAATCCAACGGCCACCGTTTGTGCAGGAAGGTTAATCATACATTTAAAACCATCATGGTTTCATGATTTAACTTAATCATGATAATGGTAGACATATTGGCAATTATTCATTATACATGTAAAACCTTAAGAAAAAACTCCATCAAAATTATTATTTATTTTGAAATTTGATGCGTCATTAAATTATTAAATTAATAATAGTGACCTAATATTATTAAATTAATTCGAATTAATAAATTTTAAGTTTTGCCACGTTATGATAATGTAGCATTAAAATAAGGTTTATATAATGAAAAAAATCAAGACTGAAATGGTTTTTTAGTTTTTATTTTCGTAGTTTACCTAAATTATTAATTTAACAAAATAAAATATCTCTATATGAAAGGCGCATATACGCGCCACGCGAGAATGGTGGGGTCACACGCTTTTTCCGGGAGTGTTTCTAACTTTCTTCTGAGGAGTGGGGACTATACATGGAAAACTTCTCTACCGCCCCAGGTTTAATTAACTTATAAAGTCCCCCTTAAAATTTTTAAAATTACAAAAAGTTTCTTATGTTGGTGTATAACGTGATAAAAGAATATATATTTACTTAATTGCCCCTCTTTTGTTTATTTAACATCAAAAAATTAACAATAAAGAGACTTTTGTTATTTGATTGCATTTAAAGGTGTTAGAATTTGAGTTGGGCCTAACTCCTCACCCAAAAAGCCTTATTGAGTGGGAGGATTGTCCACTCTTATAAATCCATTGGCTTGAGTGTGTCTAGTCGATATGGGATCTCCAACACTCCCCCTCACGATCAAACCTATATGGTTCACTTGCCTATGAATGGAGGTAGTTTGGCAGCCCACCGTTGGTCAATCACTCAGCTTAGATGGGGCTGGCTCTGATACCATGTTAGAATTTGAGTTGGGCCTAACTCCTCACCCAAAAGGCCTTATTGAGTGGAAGGATTGTCCACTCTTATAAATCCATTGGCTTGAGTGTGCTTAGTCGATATGGGATCTCCAACAAAAGAGTATTATTGTCATTAACCTGATAAATTTTTACCTTGATTTCCTAAAAAAAACCCCCCCATAGGCATCAGAAATAATATTTTACCCTCTTTCATCACTTTTTTTTTATTTTTTAGGATTTTCGTTATTAGATTAACATATTTTACTTTAATTAAATTAAATATTAAACCCTAACAAAATACTAACAATACGGGGTAATTTGTCATTTAAAGCCCAAGGGAGGAAAGAGAAATCAGGGAAAAGAGATAAGGACAAACAGTACTTACAAAATCGATATAGGTCAAAAATTGACCAACCCAGCTCTTGTTTTAAAAGGCGCGGTCGGCCAGTTGGGGCTGAGAAAGACTCCAATGGAGCAGCTTCGGGGGACCTACTCTCATTATGAATCACGTGGCACTACGCGCCAACTCATGGAGGAGATACGACAAACTTTTGGAGGTTAAGGGGATAAGGTTAAGGTAGTAGAATTGAATAGATTAATATGGACAACTAATTATGAATTATTGGTGCCTTCTTTTAGCGTAAGAAGATAAGGAAACCAACAACTTTTTTTTTTTTTCTTCCTTCTAGTGAGTCTTTCTTCTTTATTGACCACTTGGTGCAAACAAATTAATGGAGCTCAACTTGTTTAAGAAGGTGGTTGAAATTCATTCAATTAACGTGCATCCTACAATTGAATCATATGAAATAAATGTCACAATTTAAAGATGGAAATTTTTCCAATTCAACTCACACAAATATATATAAAACCACACAAATCTTACCATTTATGATATGGCAAGAAAAAACACATAAAGTATAGTCGAATTTAATGATTTTTGAATACCCGTTGTAACATTTAAAACTTAATTATCTTTGAAGACGAATGAAATTAACCTTAATAAAGAATATATTAGTTAAATGTAGAACTAAATTGAATCTTAGACTCAACTTGTCTTATAAAAATCGAAAGAAAGTTATCCCACCATGGGTTGATTTTCCACCATGCACTAATATTACTAAAATATTAGTTTAGGATAAGTGTTTTTGAAATGGGTTGTGTTAGGTCATTGAATTCGAAACCATTAAATTAACCAGGGCGACATTTCCACTATGGTAGTATTATTAATTTATGTTTATAATTCAAGACTAGCATCATGTCAATACAAATAATATGTTTGTTTAAAATTCAAAATGAAGTTATATTGCTTTTGAAGTTTTTTTTTTTTTTTTTTTTTTTTTTTTTTTTTTTTTTTTTATCATGGTTGTCCGAACCAGTTTGCGTGTACTTCAACTAATCTTTTGGGATCTTGAAGTTAACAATTGGGTAAACCCTCCAATGTTCAACTCTATTAGTAAACAAGGGAAATCGAACTCAAGATCTTTTGAATAATACACCTAAAAGTTTATATCGCCTCACTCGATCACCAAAAGGTGGTTACTTGAAGTTGTTGAGTAAGTTTGGATTCATTCATCAAGTTTAGTCGTTGAGCTAGAACGTAGATGCTGAACTCAGCTGAGGATATTGAAAAATGGAAACCAAAACTTAGATCAACAACTCAAACAATAATTCAAATTGCACATGCACATTTTTTTTTAAATAAAAAGTCAAACCCATAGAGGCTCAACTAAATTTGAATGGTTTCAGTTTGAAGAATATACTGTCAAATAAAAATCTTACATACCAAACTCAATTTCATCTCTGTTATCACATAATAATGCATTAAATTATTAATACCTAATAAAATATCAATATAATTTAGAGGCTGTTGATTTGATTCCAAATGCCGTCCGATGTTTTAGACTTTTAGGTTCGGTTTGAGCCTAAAATTTAGCAAAACAAAAAATGAAAAATTCCTATCTTTATCAGTTATTGTCAAGGCAGAAGCCATTGATTGAAGGGCAAAGCAATAAGAAACACATTTTTTTCATCTTAATCAATTAATTAAAAACAGATTGAAGCTGATCTGGTCTAGTGGCTCTCCGCCAGGCTGTGGCCTCCAAACTGGACCATTTCTACAGGAAAAAGACAATGGAATGGACCACTAAAACATATATTTTCTAAATAATATTTTGTTTATTTGTTATATTTAAATCTGCCTGACAAGTAAAGTATCATTTTCAAGCTCAAGCATATCCAATTCAGAAAATGCCCAACCTCGAATCTCAACTCAAATTTTTTTAAAACAATCAGTTACACAAGTCCATAAAAAAATAAAACAAATAGATTTCTCTGGTGTTGGTTTAAAGCTGGCAACAAATAATTTGGGATGTTATGTTATCTATTCAGAAGAAAATCTATTAATAATATGGATAAAGTAGACATTAAAGGGAATCCAAATCCAGTATGGCCCAGAAAACAGATAGAGGAATCTAATAATGAGAATTAAAATTTTAATTTTCTGTTCCAATTTAACAAAGAATAATACTACACAAACATCATTTTTATACAACATTTTCCATACAACATTATGTGACAAGATATGATTGGGTGAAAGTTTAATTTTAACTTTAAATTAGCCAATCATATCTTGTCACATAATGTTGTATGTGAAATGTTGTATGAAAATAATGTATGCAAAAACAAACAAACAATAGAACAAAATTACTCAGAGGAAGTAAAAAAAAAAAAAAACCCAGAAACCATTTATGCATCATTATTCAAAAGATGCATACAATAGTTTAGAATATGCTTTGTAAGATATGCATATTATGTATCATTTTCACTTTATTTAAGTTGAAATTGAGGTGAACAGATGAACGTAAGAGTCATAAAAGGACCCACGGCATGTGCAAAACAAGCACTAATTTAATATTCCCATAACTAAAGAGAATGGAACATGAGGCATGTTATCGACCTGGCAACCTAGCCAGATTCCAGAGTCCTCTATAATTTTCTAAGACAAGATGGATTCTCTTCAATGATTTTCTGGTCCTCACAGAGGACATTTGGCACAAAGTAATGTGACCAGAGACAAAGAAGATGCTGTTTGGACCACTTTTCTTCTTCCTTTTGGAGGTTTAGGGTTTAACTCTTTTCAATAAAATCAAATTGAATGGAGGGTATTAAAAAACAGGGGAAACGTTTATTTTCTAATTGCTTGTCCCTTGTTTCTTGTAATGGAGGGTCTTAAAGAGGGAATAGTTTAAGGCATGTATGAATGCAAAGTACAATTCCTGTCTGACAAAAAATATTCTTAACTAAATTGGACAAGCAATGCACTATGATGCCATAATGATAGAAGAATTAGTACCATACTTGAACAGAGAGGATGAAATCATGTAAAATAGGAAAAACGTTTTGAAATAAAAAGAAATGTGTGAGAAATTTTAATGGGTCAATATCAATTAACCAAGGTTTTATTATAAAAAAAACACTGTAAAAATTAAAAGACATAAAGAAAGTCTTGAATATAAATCTAAAAAGTCAAAGAAAATTAGGGTAGGAACAAAGATTTGCATTATGTAATAAAATGCATTTTTTTTATCATTGGAAATGTTCAAACCAATTTACGCACATCTCAACTAATCTTCAAAAATCCTGAAACTATCAATCAAGTAAGAACGCCAATGATCACCTCTATCAGTGTTGGTGAAGACTCGAAATAAAATGCATTGTTCTTGACTACCAGATGTAGTTCAACAATGGATATTGTTTTTTCCGATCCATAAGAAGCTTTTGACATCATCTCACATTAAGTTCCGCGATACGATATGAAAGAAAATAGATATGACCAAGGACAATGTTGACGGTAATCAAAATTAGATCTGCAGGCCTTTCCCTTCCATAAAAGTCTAAGCCCGATACTTGTCTTTAAGCCGGTAATTTTAGGCCCAATGGCCATTCAATAACCTAAATAGAACAAAATCCCGAATAGTCTCACATAATTTTACGTCAGTCTTCAGAGAGACCGAGGATTTGTTGATAAAAGAGATACAAACTCAACAATAACATGTGACTTGGAAATTTCACAATTTATTTTATAAAGAAATAATAATTACAAATAAGTGTTAGTACAATAAGATTACTAGATGAGGCTTCAATAATCGCAACCACGTGAGTAAGGCACTGGGTGATAGAAAGAGAAAGGTATATTGGAAAGGTTTTAGAGCAGAAATGCCTTCTGAGCCAGCTAACTGAAACTAAGTTACCAATCAAGGTAGAAGGAGATTAGAAAAGATAAGGAACCATTTACCGTCGCTTCAGAGGTTGCTGTAAAACAAAAAGAATAGTTAGAGGACAATCCTGGGCAACAATCTTCATAATTTTATTCAAACTGTTAACCAATAAAATTCATGAAAAATCAAATTTGAGTGAGAATATATAAAGAAACCAAGTTGGTATAAGCAAGAACTTACCCTTCTTGCATTATTAGGTACTTGTGGCTGTCTTACTTGTGGTTGCCTGTTAGACATACTGTCTAAATCTGCCGTCACTACTGGATTATCATGCTTGTAGAATGCCTGTAGGGATCTCACAACAAATGGACGAACAACATTCACTTCCATTGCAGACAGATGTGCAATCTGCAATAGCATATTGACAAGATCAGGAGCATGCAAACCAACAGATTAAAAAATTACGATTGTAGTTCCAAAATCCATCCTACAAATAATGCAATCATGTTTCTCACAGACATTTAATGAGCCACAACAAAGCGATCATTTATACAACCCAAGTATTAATTTTGATATTTTGGCACTGATGTCTCACAAACAGTCAACCATTGCTCCTAAAAAGTATGTATTAAACAAAACAATCCCAAATAGCATATCCAGCTTCTCAATTGGTGGATGCTACTAATAAGAGTAAAGCTACCTCCACCAAAGTCACAAACACAATGACAACATATTCAATCTAAGGAGATAACAAGACATCAAGTTATTTATTGAGAAGATACATAAGATTTTCAATGCCCCAAGTTTCTTGTATAGAGGTATCTCCCTCTATGGGCATACCCGCACGGCCAAACTGCATAAATTTTGTCATGTGATAGTCTCTGTATTTGCTTACTATTGTAGTTAGATCCCGTGGTTTAATCCTGTATCTAAAATGAATTAAGAAGTTCTATATACAGGGGCTACTAAAAGGAGAGATATTCTACCTTTTCAATGCATTACATTTAGATATTAAAATATCCAAACTTTTCCCTTCTTCATAGAAATATCAGTCCTGATGATCAAGACAAAAGAGAAGAGAGATGCAAAGTCTACCTTCACTGCCGATGTAGCACTAAATTTCTCCAAATTAGTTTCAACTTTATGCAGCCGTACATCCCTGATGTCTTCAATTAGAGACCTCACCTATGAAAAAAGATTTATGTCAAGGACTTCCAAGAAATCAAAACGTCTAATTAACAAGAATAAATAGCCTTCAAACTCACCATATATATGTCAGGAATGTCTTCACGTGCACTACTATCCACAAAGTTACGTTCCACATCAATATAGTTTCATATAATAGATGATTTTAAACCAAAAACAAAATATAAATGCACTAATGCTTACTGGTCAAAAAGAAGTCTGGAGATCTCAATATAATGGAATGGTACAGCCTGAAATGTCCCTTGATCTTCTCGTTCTCCCTCCAAAAGCTGTGTTAAATTTTCTACACCACATAGCAAAGAATATAAGAAATTAGAGACAAATTGAATATATAGTTCATTTTAATTTCTTATTTTTTAGACTGCCCTTAAATAATCATAGACAACTCAGAACTATATACCGGAAAACAAAATTACATTAAGGAAGTTCGCATAAAAATAAATAAACAAATAAATAAATACACACCAACTGATATCCACTGCGGAGGCCGAATTGTGCATTTTCCTCTCTTCTTCAAAGCCACGGCGAGCCACAGCGGCACTTTAACGGGTATTTGAGGAAAGAATGGACCAAAATCGCCCTGCCATTTGAAACAAATCAACCATAATTTAAAATTATCACAAACTAATATTAACAAAAACAACATCTGAACTTCAATTTCACAGAGAAAGGCAAATTCAGAAAATACACAGATGAAATTGAGAGGANCCGAGGATTTGTTGATAAAAGAGATACAAACTCAACAATAACATGTGACTTGGAAATTTCACAATTTATTTTATAAAGAAATAATAATTACAAATAAGTGTTAGTACAATAAGATTACTACATGAGGCTTCAATAATCGCAACCACGTGAGTAAGGCACTGGGTGATAGAAAGAGAAAGGTATATTGGAAAGGTTTTAGAGCAGAAATGCCTTCTGAGCTAGCTAACTGAAACTAAGTTCCCAATCAAGGTAGAAGGAGATTAGAAAAGATAAGGAACCATTTACCGTCGCTTCAGAGGTTGCTGTAAAACAAAAAGAATAGTTAGAGGACAATCCTGGGCAACAATCTTCATAATTTTATTCAAACTGTTAACCAATAAAATTCATGAAAAATCAAATTTGAGTGAGAATATATAAAGAAACCAAGTTGGTATAAGCAAGAACTTACCCTTCTTGCATTATTAGGTACTTGTGGCTGTCTTACTTGTGGTTGCCTGTTAGACATACTGTCTAAATCTGCCGTCACTACTGGATTATCATGCTTGTAGAATGCCTGTAGGGATCTCACAACAAATGGACGAACAACATTCACTTCCATTGCAGACAGATGTGCAATCTGCAATAGCATATTGACAAGATCAGGAGCATGCAAACCAACAGATTAAAAAATTACGATTGTAGTTCCAAAATCCATCCTACAAATAATGCAATCATGTTTCTCACAGACATTTAATGAGCCACAACAAAGCGATCATTTATACAACCCAAGTATTAATTTTGATATTTTGGCACTGATGTCTCACAAACAGTCAACCATTGCTCCTAAAAAGTATGTATTAAACAAAACAATCCCAAATAGCATATCCAGCTTCTCAATTGGTGGATGCTACTAATAAGAGTAAAGCTACCTCCACCAAAGTCACAAACACAATGACAACATATTCAATCTAAGGAGATAACAAGACATCAAGTTATTTATTGAGAAGATACATAAGATTTTCAATGCCCCAAGTTTCTTGTATAGAGGTATCTCCCTCTATGGGCATACCCGCACGGCCAAACTGCATAAATTTTGTCATGTGATAGTCTCTGTATTTGCTTACTATTGTAGTTAGATCCCGTGGTTTAATCCTGTATCTAAAATGAATTAAGAAGTTCTATATACAGGGGCTACTAAAAGGAGAGATATTCTACCTTTTCAATGCATTACATTTAGATATTAAAATATCCAAACTTTTCCCTTCTTCATAGAAATATCAGTCCTGATGATCAAGACAAAAGAGAAGAGAGATGCAAAGTCTACCTTCACTGCCGATGTAGCACTAAATTTCTCCAAATTAGTTTCAACTTTATGCAGCCGTACATCCCTGATGTCTTCAATTAGAGACCTCACCTATGAAAAAAGATTTATGTCAAGGACTTCCAAGAAATCAAAACGTCTAATTAACAAGAATAAATAGCCTTCAAACTCACCATATATATGTCAGGAATGTCTTCACGTGCACTACTATCCACAAAGTTACGTTCCACATCAATATAGTTTCATATAATAGATGATTTTAAACCAAAAACAAAATATAAATGCACTAATGCTTACTGGTCAAAAAGAAGTCTGGAGATCTCAATATAATGGAATGGTACAGCCTGAAATGTCCCTTGATCTTCTCGTTCTCCCTCCAAAAGCTGTGTTAAATTTTCTACACCACATAGCAAAGAATATAAGAAATTAGAGACAAATTGAATATATAGTTCATTTTAATTTCTTATTTTTTAGACTGCCCTTAAATAATCATAGACAACTCAGAACTATATACCGGAAAACAAAATTACATTAAGGAAGTTCGCATAAAAATAAATAAACAAATAAATAAATACACACCAACTGTCATCCACTGCGGAGGCCGAATTGTGCATTTTCCTCTCTTCTTCAAAGCCACGGCGAGCCACAGCGGCACTTTAACGGGTATTTGAGGAAAGAATGGACCAAAATCGCCCTGCCATTTGAAACAACTCAACCATAATTTAAAATTATCACAAACTAATATTAACAAAAACAACATCTGAACTTCAATTTCACAGAGAAAGGCAAATTCAGAAAATACACAGATGAAATTGAGAGGATCCATTCTCATGTTAGGCACAATCTCCATTAATTCATCTTCCGCAATAAACTCAACCTGGTCAACAACAATTGAAACACTGATTTCGAGTAAAAAACATATAACTTAAAAAAAAAAAAAAAAGTTAAATTAATATAGAAATCGAAACCTCTTCTGGAGAAAACAGAGAGATAGGAGAATCAGATTGACCAGCCATCGTTGTAAGTATAATCGGATCGGATCTGAAGCTTTAGTTAAAATCGAATGAGAGATTTTGGTCAGTAGACGACTTTGAATGCGTGAATCTGACTGAAAGTAGAAACCCTACTGTGTATATCGTGGCGGGAAATGAAGCGAGTGACGATGAAGGTTTTTTTGTATTCCATTTTTGCCCTTAGGGCGCTAAACTGGTTTTAAAATTGAGTAATACTAGCGTTACAAAGATCCATACAAAGAGTTAAATTCAACTTTTGAAAGAAGAGAAAAAGAGAGAGAGAAAGAGGCCATCGTGAATTTTAAAGGCTAGATTTGATTCTTTGTATGAGTCTTTGTATGCCTCTTTGTAAGGCTAGTATTACCCTTTAAAATTAACTGTGATTATTTTTCCCTTAAAAACCCTTGTACCCAAATTTTAAAGCGGTACCACAAATTTAAAATTTTCTAAATATGTACCTCCCCCGAAATTTAAAGAAATAACCTCCCCTCAATCTGACTCCCCCATTTAGGGTAAGTTTTAAAAAGACATTTGAAGTTTACATTTAATTAAAAGGCTACAAGTTTTGAAATGTTAACTAAATAGCCATATTATTGATTAAGGGTAATTAGTGCTTAATTAGGATTATGTAATCTTTTCAAATTATCTATATTTCCACAAATCCGAAATTGTTGCAAATAAACCCAAAACCTTCTTCTCCTCCCCGCCATTAGCATCTCTACCTGCATCTTCTTCTCTTCTTCTGGCGCGTCAAACATCTTCTCTTCTCTGCATCTTCTCTCTTCCTCCTTCCTGTACATCTTCTTCTTCCTCATTCCTCTACATCTTCTTCTTCCGCATCTCTACCGCCATTAACACTTTCTTCTTCCTCCACCATTAACATCTTCTCCGCAAAGATCCCCTCCTCCTCCTCCTGACTTTCGCCTAAGTATGTGTATCTCCTTTTTAAATTTTATATTTAGATTTACAAAGATTTTAATGGATGGGGTTTGGGTTATGATTTTGATTTAGTTGTTTAGGTTGTTGGGTTGTTTATGTAATGTAGTTGAAAGGAGTGAAATTTGTTGAAAATTGTTTCGGGTATTTATTCTGGGTATGATGGATCGATTGTAGGTGGAGATGACTGAAAATGTGTTCTGGGCACGATGGATCGCTTAAGCGATCTGGTGTATCGCTTAGCGATCCGGTAGGTCTGGTAATGCAGCAGTATATCGCTTAAGCGATCAGGTATGTGGCATAAGATCGCTTAAGCGATCGGTTAAGTCTATTGTATGGGAGCAGATCGCTTACGCGATCAGTAAATGGCATAAGATCGCTTAAGCGTTCAAGGTTATTATCTTAATCGCTTAAGCGATCAGGTGTATCGCTTAAGCGATCCAGTATAAATAACCATGATCGTTCAAGCGATACATCAGACCAAATATGCGAATGTGCAGATTCTTTTTAAACTATTTGAACCCTTAGTACAGCATTTAAGAATATTGTTTTTCTTGCATTACAGGTAGTTGGCTATTATTATACTGGGAAAAATTGTTTTGGGTGTTGAATATTTTGGTGAGTGGGTGAGGAGAAAAGTAGGTGGGAAGTGATTGGGAGACAAGAAGTTCACCAATTGCTGTGAGCACAGAGGTTAGTTTTGATGAGTTGATGATGAAATAATTAGAAGAGGTAATTTGAGTTGCTCGCGGTGATAGTAGTTGTGAAGTATGTTTTAAGCAGAGCTCCTGAAAATTATAGGTACCCTCCTGCTGTATTAAAGTCGGATGAAAGTGTGAACTTATTTATGATTGATATGGCCGATAGTGGTTCGAGGCCGATTTTAAGGGTTTCTTATGTAGAAAAACCGTTGAAGTTGGTTCCAAGGAAGGGGATAACGAGGATGTAGGCGGAGATTTGCCTGGTGTAATTTGAACTACGAGGCCATTGATTTGTTAGCTGAAAAATCAAGAGTAGACGGTCAATTGGGTGGTGAGGAGGACACTATAGAAGAGGTTGGTGATGGGGGGCAGAATAAAATGTGAGTGAGGAGGACCCCGTAGATGTTTCCCACAGATGTAGAGATTCCTTTAAATACGATTATGCAAGGCGTAGATTGTGGAGAAGAGAACACTATGGTCGTTTATGCAGGTTAAAGGGGCAATTGGAGGTAGTAGTGGATCATCTCATGTCTTTACGGATGGATCGACTTGCGCTAGGGTATTTATTTGACAACAAAGAGGAAGTGGTGAGGAAGCTAAAACTTGTTGCTGTGAAAGTAATTTTGAGTTCATCACCAAAAAGTCAAATTTCATGGCTGTGACGGTTTGCATGTCGTGACCGACTGCAAGTGCGGGTTTATGTAGAAGGTTGGCGGAGTCGGAAAAGTTTATTCTTAGCACATATACCCTGAGCACACATGTGTTTGGGACATATTTCAGGTGAGCATCGACAAGCGTCCGCTGATGTTATTGGACAATTTGTCAAAAGTCGGTTCGTCGAAGGGAAAGGTCCATCTCCTAAAGACATTCAGAGACTTGTGCGCACAGAGTTGGGATGTGTTTTTTTACTGGAAATGCTGAAAGGTAGACAGCATGCACAAGATTTTGTGAGGGCCCGCCGGAGCACGGTACGCAGTATTAGAAGCGTACCGTTATATGCTTGAGTTGACAAACCAAGGTAGCAAGACGGCTTTGAAGTGGGACAGGAATATGATGTTTAAATATTTTTTTGTTGCTTATGGTGCTGCTATAAGGGGTTTTGTAAACATGAGAAAGGTGTTGGCTGTTGATGGTTGCTTTCTAACGGGAAAGTATGGAGGTACATTTTTGGTGGCCACTGCACAGGACAGCGAGAATCACACATATCCTGTTGCATGTGTGTGGTTGACTCTGAGAATGACGAGTCGTGGACTTGGTTTTTTCAGCAGTTACGTACGATAGTGCCTGACAGTGACGAGTTGTGCATAATATCAATAGGCACAACTCTATAAAGAAGGGATTGCCACTATTTACCGTCAAGCACATCACGGATTCTGTATGAGGCACCTTGGTGAGAACATAAAACAAAAGTTTAAGTGTGCTGGCCTCCTTCAGACATACTACATGGCAGCAAAAGCTTATCGGTTGATGAGTTCGGAACACTTCCACAAATCCGAATCAAGGAGTTAGAGTTGCTAAGTATCTTGAGCATGATGTTGGTTTCGAGAGATGGAGTAGAGCTTACTTTCCTGGAAGAAGGTTTGATGTCATGACCACGAACATAGCTGAGTCCATAAATTCGAAGTTGTTAATAGAAAGAGAGTTTCCAATAGTTGCACTTTTTGATGCAATCCAAGGACACTGTCGCGGTGGTTCCATGAGCGTCGTATGGATTCAGATAATTTTACTACAACCCTTGTTCCGTCAGCTGAAAAATTATTGCGAGACATATGGAACTGTCAAATGCACGTTTGCCTATCCTCTAATGCTCAAGAGTTTACTGTCCGCTATGGTCCGATGCCCTAGTTAACCTTGTTACAAAAACTTGCAGCTGTAAAGTCTTGACATTCAACATTTACCTTGTCCTCATGCACTAGCACAGCACTGAAACACCAACGGAAGCCGGATTTTGGTTCAAGAATTTACATGGAACTTTGCTCCCCTTTCTATATGACAGATCACTACTGCTAGCATATTCAAAACGATATATCCGGTGCCTCCAGAAGAGCAGTGGGTAGTGCCGCCAGAGGGGTCTGACATTATCCTCCAGCCGCCATTGAAGAAGACACCAAAGGGAGAAAAAGGGTTAAGCGTATTCCATCAGCCTTTGAGGTTCCCCGGAAGATGAATAAGTGCTCAATTTGCAAGCAACCTGGTCACAAGAGAAGCAGTTGCCAGAAGTAATTAGGGTCGATTCGAAGAAGATGAAATTTTGATGTTTTAAATTTTATTGTTACCTTTAATAATATCCTTTATATTGTGTATTCTTATTACATGGTCTAAATATTTGTTGGTGATTTTAGTTTGGAATTAGGCTGTCAAATTGAGGAAAAAGTATGGATTATACGTGTTGGTAATTTTAGTTTCTCAAAATTCAGAGATAAAAGATGCAAATGTTATATTGCCCACGATCGCTTAAGCGATTAGTGTATCGCTTAAGCGACAAAGTGTTTTCGCAGACGGATCGCTTAAGCGATAAAGGATCGCTTAAGCGATCGTGCACCTGGACTGATTGATTCTGCCCAGGTGCATGATCGCTTAAGCGATCTACAATCGCTTAATCGACCAGGGGAAAAAGCAATATTCGCTTAAGCGATCTGGACCTGGGCAGATTTGCTTCTGCCAATCGCATGATCGCTTAAGCGATCCATTGTATCGCTTAACCGATTCTTCTGCAAATGGTTTTAAAATTTAACAGTACACCCACCCCACCACCCACGGTGACAGATTCTTGCCACCGGAGCCGGAATCTGACCGGGAAGGCGTTTCGATGCACAGTGGTCGGATCTGGCCGATAGGGCCTCTATATCCTTTTCCGGCCAGATCGACCACATGTGGCCGAAAAGGGCCCACGATCCCCAGAACTGGCCGTAGACGAACGGAAAAATCCAGAGTTGCCGTCTGTGACAGCCAAATATATGGCCGTCGTTGTCGGTCAACGATGGCCAACATTTGGCCGTCGTTGACCGTCAAAGTCGGACATTTCATTGAAATCCATGACGGGAAGATTGGGCCTTTTCCGGCCACATCGACGGTGGATATGGCCGGAAAAGGTCACAACTGGCCATTACCGGCCATTTCCGGTCGTTCGTTGCTGTCGGCGGTACCAGAATCTGGGAAGTTGGGTGGGGGGGGTGTTTTTGTTAATTTTTGAACTTTTTGTTGGTATTAATGAAATTAATTCACTTAATGGGTCGAAATTAATAAAAATATACTGATATTTCCTAAATAATTAACAAACATATAAAAATATACTGAACTGACGTGTAAAGGAAATATATGTTTGATATAAATGTAATAACGGAACAAGTGCTCTGAACGAATCGTAAACCCTTATAGGTTTCATACTAACGTGTAAAGGAACTATATGTTTGATATAAATGTAATAACTGAACAGTGCTCTGAACGATCGTAAACCCTTAAGGTTTCATACGACGTGTAAGGAACTATAGTTGATATAAATGTAATAACGGA